GGTTAGATGTTAGGAAGAAATTCTTTACAGAGAGGGTAATCAAGCATTGGAACAGCCTACCCAGAGAGGTGGTGGATTCACCATCCCTGGAGGTTTTTAAGCAGAGATTGGGTGTGGCCCTTAGTGCCATGATATAGTAATTGGAGTTGGATCAGGGGTTGGACTTGATGATCTTGGAGGTCTTTTCCAACCCAATCTATTCTATGATATAACTGACTTCTTCGAAAGAAAAAAAAATAAGATCTGTAAACACCTGCTCCTCTCCCCTCCCCATCCAGGCACAGCCTTGGGCCAACAGCATCAGTGTTGCTCCCAAAGCAGGAGTTGAAGGCCAGATTGGGATGGTTCCTCTGTCTCCTTCAGCAATAAAAATCTCTTGGTCTTGAATGATGTGGATATTGGGAAGTCCAATGCTTCTCCAGGAGAAATAAGGGAGCATTGGCCTCCTGTAATGGTTTTAACAAGGCCAGCAGAGCAGAGCTGTGGCTGAGGTGTCCTGTGCGAAGTGAATTGCTGATAAACACAATCCTGCCCCTTCTCCCATGTGTGAGAGGGGTTCCAAAATGCACAGCCTGGGTCTCCATCCTTCCTGAGCAACCCCAGGGTGGGACCTGCAGGATGCCCAGTCCTCCCAGAGGGTGCTCACCTGCTGTTCTATCCTGGACACGGCATCTCCCTCAGAGCCACTATTAACATAGACCATAATGTGTTCTGACACCACCTGATGTGCTGTAATTGCTCTAAACCCATGAAATGTGATGTCACTGCAGAGGGGCTGCTACCCCTTTGTGTTACACGTCTGGTGGCTCCAAGCTGTTACCTCATTGCAGGCTGAGGGAGAGCTCCCCACTGGTCCTGGCACCCTAGAAATCCACTTATCCCCCCCTCCATCTCCTCAGACACGGCGGGACAGGCTGATGCAGAAATGCCCCCTGTATTTCCAAACTGATTTTCCATTTGCACAAACACCAGTAGGGGTTACTTGTTTAAAACCTCCTTCACGTGAATAATCAGATCATACTTAAAAAAAAAAAAACACCCAGATCTCCAGTTACAATTATTTCATTAGTCTGTGATAGTCCAAACTATCCAAGAGCTTGGAAAGCTGTTGCCTGCACAGATCCAAGCACGCTGCCCATGGAAGAGGTCCTTACTGCTAATTGCCTGTGCCAACCCCAGACATTAAGAAATCACTGCTAATGCAGCTTACAACAGCTTTTGTAAGACACTATTAAGGAATTCAGCAGAAAACAGAACCAAATAAAGCAGAAAGTGATTAAAGAGAAACAAAACTTACCCCAAACTGCAGGATCAGCAGGAACAAGAGCCGGAGCCATCATCTGAGTGCAGCACCTCCAAAGCTGCACTTGAAGCTCCCTTTATTCCAGCACTAGTGCTGCTGGAGCCTGGGGCCTTCCCATAACAACCCAGGGTGGGAACGGGGCTCAGCTGTGACCCATTTTCCCCCAGCAACTCCCTATGGAATTGCAGCTGGTCCCTTGCACCTGCAGCCCAGCTCAGGGAGCCAGGTGGGGGCTGCGGTGGTGCACATCCAGCCGGGATGCTGGGCCTGAGTGTGGCCCCAGGGACACGTGTGCTTCCCCTGGGCTCCTTCCCGGGAAAAGGGACAAAGCTGCGGTTGGGCCTGGGGTTGTTTTTTTCAAAAGGCTGATAAAAATAAATCTTGAAAAGGGTGAGGAAGAGGAGGCACAGTTTGTGCTAGAGAGGTGTCACCCACAGGGATGACGGCTGCAAGTGGCACAAGGACACAGGGCCGGAGCTGTGACTCATGACTTTTCGACGTTCCATCCTGGTGTCGGTATCGCATTTCGAGGATTATATTTTATTCATAAAGATTGCTGTGCTCACAGCCGTGTCCGGCAGAGCCGGCGTGTGGCTGAGCCTGGGGCTGGCAGTGCTGCGCACCACCGGAGGGTCCCAGCTCTGTAACACCTGCTGAAAATTAAATATAATACATAAAACTGGGTGAGGGTCCCCAGGTTCCACCCCATGACCTGGAATGTGGGTGCCCTCACGGCACCCGAGTGCCGGGCCGGGGTTTACAGCACGTGATGGGCTGTTGTTGGTAACCGCAGCCCAAAGGAGCCCGGGTGGAGCACGTGAGGTGGTATTTTTAACTCTGAGGTCCTGGTGACATGGAAAACTGGGTGCCTGGTGCAGGTGCTGCACAGATCGATGGAAAATTTCCCACCACCCATCGACACCTCGGCATCGCCAACCCCGGGCACTGCAGTGTGTTAGCAAATGGTGCTTCTGCCCCACGAGCCCAGAGCCCGGCAGAAACCTCCACTAGGGAATTAGCTGGGAAGTGCTTCCCTGCAGAGCTGCAGGTGGGAAGGTGGCATGGTGAGATGGAAACAAGGATGGTGCAAACCAGAATTTCCCAGCTGAGAGCCTGATTTAGCATCCTCAAGCAGGAAAAAACCATTTTCAACCCCTTGAGAGGGTAAAGACAGGATGAGCCCGTGGTCCTCACCAGGTTTGATGGCTCCCCAGCACGGTGTTAGCTGGGACTTGGAATTCACCCATCAGTGCAAACATCCCCACACATCTCCCTTGTCCTTCCCCCCATGGGGAGGACCTGTGCCAGGCTGGGAGGTGGCACACGGTGGCATCCCCCCTCCTCCCCGCCGCCCTCCCGCAGCCCTGCGCCCACCCCGCCGGCTCAGCCGAGACAAGCGGAGGCTAAGAACATCCACTGGGTTTTATTCCTCAGGTATGACAAGTAAAAGCACAAATTCTCTTTGGAAATAAGGAAAAAAAAAATTAAACCAAAACCCCAAACCAACGTTCAAAGCACGCGGACAGTTTGCGTTTCTCAGGACGGAGGCCGTGCCGTCAAGCTCCGCCGCCGGACACGTGTCCTTTGCAGAGATGTAGTTTAAAAACAACAACTCATGGAGAAAGAGAAGACACAGGGCTACGGGTTTCCATGTCAATTTTAGAGGAAAAAAAAAAAAAAGGCCCTTTTTTTTTGCTATTGTTATAAATATCCCATCCGATCGACTCGGAGCGAACGATAACCGTAAGGAGGACATCCGTTCTGCTTGGCCCCGTGGGCACAAAAATCTCTACTGGCACCTCAGACTGCTACAAGCCCTCGGGGACGGTGGCCTGGCACCCGGTGTGTGCCCCGGCTCTCAGCTGGCCCCCCCATGGGTGACGGGTGCTGCCATCCCTACGAGCGGCACCCGTCACCCTTGCCGGAGGCTGTCAGGATGCCGCGCCGCAGGGGACCAGGGAGCAGGGATCCAGGGGGAGAGGGGGCAGGGGAGGAGGGGTGCCGGGGCACAGCAGGGCCGAGGGTGGCTGCTCAGGTGCAGGTGGCCTCCTGGCTCTCGACGGGGATCTCGCTGCCACTGCCGCCCTCGCCGTACTGCTGGTAGGGGGGGATCTGGGGCGCCTCGATGATCAGCAGCCCCTCCGGAGACAGGGAGGCGAACACCGTGATGGGATCCACCTCGTAGGGCAGCCTGCGGGAGGAGGGGAAAGATGGGAGGGGTTAGGAGTGCGAGGCATGCTGCATCCCTGGTGGACACCGACCCTCGGGAAGCTCTCACAGTACCCCCAGTGCGTGGGGAACCACTGATGCCGAGGCACCAGCCCCGGTGTGGGGCTCAGCAAAGCCTCTCTTGTTACTGTAGTGCCTGGGAATGTGTCAGGGATATTTAGAGCGGGTTCCTGGCCGGCCTGGCCCCCGTGGGAGCTCTGTTTAATCTCCCCGGCAGATGTGTTTGACGGGATGTCACCCGCCGCTTGTGCCTCTGCAAAGCAGGAGTAAATCCTGGCCGTGCCGCAGCCCACGTCAGCCGCGAGCCTTGCCCGTAAAAGGAGCCCGAGCGCCGAGCAGGAGGGAGTGAAGTGCTCACCCCAGCCTTCCCGTGGGAGTTTGGGATGCACAGGGCTCCTTCAGGGTGGAAAAGCAATGCTGGGCTGCTGCCAGCTGAGGAAACCCTTCCCATGCCTTGGGCTTTTTGCTGCCTCTCCCTGTTAACCCCTGCGCCCGGGGGTCTGCCCCCCACACCGGCTGCCTCTGCAGGGCTCGCCTTTGCCATTGTTGTTGCCAAAGTGAGCCATGGGTGAGTCAACGCGATAGCGATCTGAGTGACATCATGGAGATAAACGGATACAGAGACATCCTCGCACCGGGATGTGCTCGGGGCTGGCGGTGGTGTCAGCCCGC